CCGCTGTCAATCCTCACTGAAATTTATTTCATCTGAGCTAAAATTCAAATTTATCAGTTTGTTTAAAGTGAACGAATTTCCGCTTTCAGTGTGGAAAGGGACGCACACGTCGAGCAAACAACTTTTGCCGCTTCTTTTGCCGCAGCCGGGTGTGCGAGCCCTCTAGTTAGTAGTGTGGGCAGCCTAGCTCGTGAGCTGCATCTGCAAGTCTCAACGGGCCAGATTTGTTTGGGCGTTTTGTAGTCTTAGGATTTTCCTGCCGACTTCTCGCTTGACACAATGAAAAGCTTCAAGTCGTTTCTGCTGGCCGTCGCCGTGCTGGGGGCAGCCAAAGGAGGCGAGAGCGCTGAACCGAGCCAAGAGGCAGGTGAGTTGGGGTAGCAGTAAGTCAAAAAGCCTTTCTGTGCGTGTACAAAACAAATTCCAATTGAGGTTGACGGGTGTTCGGTCGTTTTTCCTGTGTGCAGAGTCTGTGAACTGCCGGGACGACTTCAATGCCGCTCGAGAATCAGCAGGCCTAGAACCCTTCGCTGAAGAAACGACCGACGCAAATAAACTGCCAATACATGATGATACGTACATCGAGGCAATTTGCAAAGCGATACGAGAGGCAAGGGACTTTACTTCGCCTGGAATTGCCCTCCATTGCTTCTCCGTCGCTCTTGTGCTCGGACTGTCCCCACATCTGGATTTCTGTTTGGCCGTGATTGGGGGATAAACATCTTTAAATTTATTTGTTTGCATTTTTGCTTGCTTAGGGGACATCAGTGGGCAAGACAACGCCAGCTCACAAGCGCTCCGGTACCTACGCCTACGCGCCTCAGGCGGGTCCTGCCAATGGCTGCTCTGCAGCTGTCTCCTATTGGAAACAGGCCCACGTGAACTTTGATGGTGTCCCGCCGGAGTACAAAGAAGAAGAAAAGGGGGTGTATGAGGAAAGTCAGAACCGCTCGCTCGTGGCCCTGTACAACCCCCAGTCGGGCGCTACTGTTGACTGTGCGTTTATCACTTGTCATCTTCCCGCTACGTCCACCACAACCGCCTCTCCCACTACGGAACAAAGCACTACGGAGGGTGCGACGGAACCTACGACGGAGGCTCCGACCGACGCTCCGACCCAGGCTCCCACTCCATCTGAAGGGTCGACATATCTGCGCCCACCAAGCGCGGAAAGCCAGGGGAGCGCGCCAGCGGCCAACGTAGAAAAGACTCAAAGCCAGAAAGAGAGCGGACCGACCGTTCGGCGCCTCTCTACGGAATCGGAGACGGTTACTAGCCTTGTTTGCCTGATGAATCCTGCAGCGCTTGTACAAGCACAAAAGCCGTTCTCGTACGTTGCGTAGAATACAACGTCTCGCGTTCCTCTTTGTTGCATTTCCTCCTCCCGTTACGTTTGCTTTCCTTGGCTCACGCTTTGTTGAAATGTATCATTTCATCTTATATGTGTACTTACGCCGCCTGCTTCAGTCGTTTCCGAATTTTGTTGAGGGTAGGTGCTTCATATATTACTGGGGTGTTGTTGCTTTATTGGTGTTCAGCTGTTGTGTGATTGTGTCGCCGGCTAGTTTCACCCGGTCGCCCTCGAAGGTGCTCGCTAGTTGAGCTTTACTGCGTGTTGCTTTTGCTCTGAAATTGGTTTGGGCATGTCTATCTTTACTTGTGCACGAAATTGTTATTTTCTATTCTCCTTTTATGCAAGTTTCTTCTTTTTGTATGTGTGAATTATCTTTCCTGTTGGTTCGATAAGGTTTCTATGCCTGGTTGCGTCGACTTCCCTTGCTGAGATGTACGACGTCTTGTTGTGGGTGGGTTCCTGCGCAGT